CATTGCCTTCTATTTATCGTTTGGTTTTGATTTCTAATTGCAATTACCTTTATTCCACTCATGGATTCATTTTGCTTTTCTGAGATGTTCCCAAGGGCTCTTAATGGCTTAACACTTTCCATTTTCATGTAAATATTTCATGCTATTGCATTTCATTACTAGTATATTTCAATCTTACCTTTTTATTTTAACTGTGAGTTTGTCTAGTGTTCTAGCCATTCCTTGTTGTAGCATAGACTTGAAGATTTCCTTAGTGAATTTTTATTTTCACTTGAGACTTCTTTTTTAATGTATGGGTCATAAATAAATATGTTATGTGCTGTGTAGTTTCCATGGTTTTGAAGGGTCTTCTGATAAATTTATTTCACCTATTGGATTCTAGCTTGATTTTATTGTGGCTAGAGAAAAGACTATTTTGAATTCAATTTTTTCAGATGTGTGTCTTGTTTTACATCTCAGGATCTCATGCATCTTGAACTACTTACCAACAGTACCTGAAAAACTATTTGTTCTGCAATTGCTAGATATTGTTCATTTATGGTGTTATTAAGTTGACATGGGCCTATTCAGCAGTCCAAATATATCTACACATTTATCTAGGTTTGTTTGCATTTAATTTTATTTATTATTTCATTCTCTTTAATTGTCTTATTTTTAATTGTGTGTATGTGTTTGAGTGTGGGTGCTATGCTCACAGAGCCCAGACACATCAGATCTCTCTGGAGCTGGAGTTAAGGTAGCTACAAGACAACCAATGTAGGTCTGGGACTGAACTCAGATCTTCTGAAAGACCAGCACTGTTCTTAACTGCTGAGCCATGTCTTTATCTTCAGTTGCTTCCATTTGGGCTCACCATATTTAGACCTCTGTCATTGAATTTTGATTATTAAGAATATAGATGTGAAAAACACAGTCCAGCAGATGGCATCAAATCAGTCACCAATAAGGTCTAGAGAGTATAAGATATATATCCACCCATGAATGCATACTCTCTTCAATTACCTGTGACTCTTGGAATGATGTTGGGTTTTTACCTACAAAACTGATATCTGGCTCCATTATTTAAAATGATAAAATCAGTAGTTGTGAAATGCAAACCTTAGAGTAAAAATTCATAGCAAATTTTAGGCATTTTTTAAAAGAAACAAGTCACTTAAAGTATTTCAACATTTTGTTATGTTCTTTGCATTCTTATAATTCCTACATCATTAAGAAGAAGCGCTAAATGTAAAATTCATGTACATATTTTAAAGAGAAGTTTAGTTTGTTAGCTTTCTATAAAAATACAGAGCATTTTGGAAGGTTTAATACATTAAGCAGAGGAGAAAATGAGGAGATGTAATATCATTTCAACTCCTATGCCAGAAACAAACTTGAAAAAGTGCTGGCTCCTGAAATTATGTCTTAGGCTTGAACTGCAAACATTACAATTTCTCCTTTTCACACTGCATGTTCCCTTTGAGTCACATATCAAAGGAAGATAGAGGACAATGATAAATAAGGTCAAATATTTTATGTTTCTGATCATCTACGAGCTTAGAGGTGGGACAATTTATGCCATAATTTTTTTTTTAGAATACTTAAATGGCTTCTTTATAAAATGGATAAATAACAATTTATGAGTAGTATGATTGATACCTCCAAATACTATTAACAACTGTAGTTTGATAAGAAAATATCTGATTTTTATTACCATTAAAAGCATGTTAATTCTTCATTAATAAGTTTGTAAATGCTACTAGAAGAAATTATATGTTTGATTATATTTAATGTTATGACATAATTGTTTTAAATAGTCACTATCATAAATAATAAGAACTCATAATATATTGTTAATTGTACATTCAAATATCTTCCTGTAGCAAAATTGTTTTTGTTGATTGTTTGAGGCACTGCTTTTTGTTACAGAATACTTGGAGTGACTAATTGGGCAAACACAGACTAATAATTATTTCACTAGTATTTTCGAAATATTAGATTCTTTAGAGCACATCTAAAAGGAAGTATCGATCTGTTTAACTTTACATATATACAAAGAAAAGAGTATGAATCAAATTATAAAAAGTACCAATTAATTTTCCTAAAATGTATATATATACATATATATAAATATATATATTAGTAGAAAAACTATACTTTTGATATTTAAAATGGCATTGAGTACATATTTTTAAATATTTTGCTAATATCACTGAATAAAATTGTATGTCAGTAGAATGAGAGATGTTTCAGTCAGTGACGTGTAGTTGTGCTTTGCTTTAGGCCTGTCAGCTCACAAGTAACACAAAGCCTTCTTAGTAATTCAGAAAGCTTGGCCTTTAGGTTATGATTGTAACTTAAATTAACCTAGTACTTTAAATCTACATTCTGCCATGTGGCTCTTCATATTTCCTCAGTACTAAATTTCCAATTGCTCTGAGTTCCCTGCATGTAGTTCTGCCTCCCATTTCTTCTTTCTGTCTGGAAGTCCCAGCTATCCTCTCCTGACTAGCTATTGGCTGCTCAGCTTTTTATTAAGCCAATCAGAAGGCACCTTAGTCAGAGACACATCCTTACAGTGCACAGAAAGATCATCCAACAGCAGTAAAGCACTTGTTTCATTTATTGTAAGGACCTGAGTTAAGATTACCATAACCCATGGAAAAAGCCAGGAATGTTGACAGGAAATTCTCACCTTGGCTATGACAGGACAGGATTTGGAGACTGATGGGGGAAATACTTCTGTGTATGTTTATAAATAAAGTACTTGCTTGGCCAATGAGACAGCAGGTTAGGCTGGACTAGGAAGGAGTCAAAGAAGATTCTGGGAAATGTAGTAGAGAAGTGGTGTTCCAGACAGGAAGTGACATAGCAAGGAGACTCATATTTAAGAAGAGGAAAAAGGAAGTGTGGCTCTCTTTCCCCTCGGCTCCTGCTCCAGCCGCGCGATGTGATCCACCAGCTAGGAGGGACGCCAATAAGGCGTCCGATAAGATAAGTCTTATAAAATATATAGATGTATGATAATTGATACTGAGCTAACAGATGAGAATCCTAGTCATTGGCCAAGCAGCATTGAACCTAATACAAGTCTCTCTGTGTATTCATCTGGGCCTAACTTGGGCAGGTGGCTGCCATAAAGCTCACACATGGCAATGGGGACTCCATGCCCGAAGGTTCCCAGAGAAAGAGGTAAACCTGCCGCCACAGTCTGCCCTGTCAGGCCGCTGAGCGGCATGGGAGCAGCTTCCCTATGCTCGCGCCGTCCCGGCGCTTGCTTCTGGGGTTTAGACTCGGCACTTCTGAGATGATAAAGACAGATCCAGATAAAGAAAAACCTCTAAAGGTTTACACTACATTTAAAAATATATGTAGGCTTGTGAGAGAAAAAGTAACAGGAGGAA